TGGAGCATTTGAAGTTGTTTTATGAGATATATATCTTTTTGAATAAGTTAATTTCTCTTTCCTTTAATACAGCTCAGTAACATATTGTGTCCATGTTTAATACCTTGAATGAGCCCTGAGCTTTGTGTTTTCTTTTTCAGAATAGATATTTAAACATATTTCTTTGTTTTATCATCTTTGTATTTCTTGTAGTCGACAGTCATGCTGAACGTTTTAAAGAGAAAAGTCTAATATTCTTCTATCCATGGATATTTTACTATTTTAATGAGGAAACATGTTTACATTAAAATTTGCTTTAGAAAGAAGTATTATTGGCTTTGTGTGCTGACCAGCCAGATCTCTACTCGATGGACAAACCATATCTGTGTTTCATAATTTTACAGTGGACACGGCACATCAAACACACACAAGCTACTGTTAAGATTTAATATTTGAAAGAGTGTAACAATGCTGGGTTTTTATTGAGGAAAGACACATTTCTCGCTTTCATTGTGTTATTTTGAGAAGAAAAGCTGTAGCTGCGGGAGTTGGATCCTCACTCATGGAAGTGACGTAGAAAAGTGCACTGATAGGACAACGCTGGGATTTTGATGCTAAATAAAAAACGAGTAGGGTAAGTTCATGCACCTCAATTACCAAGAAAGTTGCTGCTCTCTGAAGAGTCACTTCCTCAATGAGTTACCTGTTGTCAGTTTGATAATGTCATGTGCATTGTAGTTGTATTTTCTTCTGTCACTGGTTTTGATATGTTTTGATGTGCAAATCATATTGAATAAAATCTTTGCAATTACGTCTGGTCTCTGGTGAAATGTGACGACGCTGTTTAGGTTATTCCAGAGTGTCTGATTAATGACTAAATTACCCACAGCACATTTGAATACTTGAGAGTATCGGTCAGGGTTAGGGTCTGTCTTCAGTGAATCAGAGCAGTGGATTTTTAAGTCTGCTAAACAAAATGAATGTTCTAACCCACACACACCTTGGCCCATGGTCAAATATATATATATATATATATATATATATATATATATATATATATATATATATATATATATATATATATATATATATTATTATAAGGATTAATTTCGTTTGTATTTTATTTCCAAAATGAGTAGTTCATTCACTCTATAGAATATGCATTCATATAATATGTAAACTTGAGGAGCTTTACTGACTTGCTCTGAGACAATCCAAGAGTTCTCACTCTGCTCTTTTTCCGGATATCTTGAACCTCGCGAAAAGGTAATCAAGTCATCGAATAATAAAAAAAATAAGCAAATAAACGATTAGAATCATGATTACTCAAGATCACGCTTGCTGTGCATAAATAAAACAATGCAATCGATGTTTGTTTTAACTAAATCAACGCCTGAATTACCCACCAGGGGATTTCAGCTTGAGTGACGCATCTTAAGATCAGAACGATCTTTTCCGTGACGCACATTTCGCGGGAAACTCAGTTCGGGAAGCTGAAGGCGAACGAGGTTGAACATGAGTAAAAAAGAAAACGGTGAGTGAGGAGTGGTGGTTTCATCGGAGTGTGATGTCTGGTGACTCTGACTCACCCGCACCGAGAGAACCACATGTCAGCTAATGCGTTTGAAAAAGCTTTGCCAGGAAGCTAACAGCTAACGTTAGCTACGTAGCCTGTAGCATGATAAGCTAACTAACATCACAGCTCTCTAACGTTCCTGTGACGATACGCCCCCTTTTCGCGGCACCTCTATCCTGAGTATAAGAATAACGTGTTGTTGGTTTCATTGAATCGAAGATATCTTTATCGTAGACTGATTTTTAATGAATATAAAGTCGAACAACCTTTTCTTTCAGCTGTGTTTTTAACGCTGTGAGTAACAAACCGATGATGACACAGATGGCTGGCTGCGGTTTGGCCAAGTTTTCCCATAATGCAGCAGTCACAGAGGGTCACTATTGTCAAACAATGTGAACCTTTATATCTTTGTATTTTACTAACAAGTATTGAAATGTGTTTATGATTGATTACATAACGTTTGTAATGTTTACTATGTTCTCTGACATCATTAAGTTTATGTTGTCAGTAGTTCATATCTTCATGGAAACATCGATTATTACGATTCTTGTGATTTACTTTGCATCATGCTGCTTTTACTTTACACTTTATCATGCATCACATGAGCGTGTGTGTATTTGCTCGTATTTACATACATTAACATGTTTTTATTTCTTTAAACATGTTTTTATTTGTATCTATATTGTATGTAAAGCACTTTGATCTGCATGTCTTGTAGTACTATTACTATTATTTTATGAACACATCGTCCTGCTTGTCATCCACAGGTGCACCACTCATACTCGCCTATTTGAATGAGAAGAACCGGCCATACAGCGCCCAGGATGTCTTCTGTAATTTACAAAAGCAGCATGGGTTGGGTAAAACTGTGAGTTCAAAAATATATCTGTGTGTGTGTGTGAGTGAGAGTGACAAAATTAATAAATGATTGCTTATTTCTGATTTCACCAGGCAGTGGTCAAAGCCATGGAGCTACTGGCTCTAGAGGGCAAGATAAAGGAGAAGACGTATGGCAAACAAAAGATTTATTTTGCAGATCAGGTTAGTTACTTCAACTGTGGACACATGGTGCTCAAAGTAACATTCACAAACGGTTATTTATAATGTTTCATGTGTGTTTTGGCTGAAACTGTCTGCTGTGCTTCTCTACAGGCTCAGTTCAAAGATGTAAGTGAGACGGACCTGAAGGCGATGGACTGTCAGATCTCGGAGCTCAGTGCTGAGACACAGTCCTTCACGCAGAGCTGTAAACAGTTAGATGCAGGTGGAGTACACTGTTGATCTCTGCTAGTTGGTGTCTCAAGATAGAGCACAGTGCATGTTTTCTAAGAATCCGTTCAGTACCAAAGTATTTGCATTTTGTACTCTTTGAGGCTACAGGATGTTGCACTTTGATACACAAGTACAGACAATGTTTTCCACAAGTGTAAGGAAGTATGTTTTTGTTGTTGTGGATGTTGTGTAACCTTGTGTGAAACCTGTGATAACAGAGCTAAAGGAACTCAACAGCTCCCTGACAACAGAGGAAATGATGTCAGAGATCCAAGAGCTGAAAGCAGAGTGTTCTGGGTACAGAGCGCGCCTGGAGAAGATAAAGTCGGCCACAAATCACGTAACGCCTGAAGAGAAAGAGAAGGTGCATTTTCTAGTTCCAGCAGACTATCTTAGAAATCTATTCCTCTATTTTATCAATTTTCTTTCTGACAACCTCCTTTTATTTTACTTCACAGGTTTATAAGGAGCGGACAGTTTACGTGAAAGAGTGGAAAAAGAGAAAGAGATTGGTAATGTATACAGAGCTGGACAGTTTCTGTCATTTGTCAAGCAAAAAAGCAAAACATTTTCTGCTTCTAGCTTTTTTAATTCGACACGCTTCTGTTTTCCTTTGTGACATTTATGGTGTTAATCAAAGGTCTTAAGGTTTTGGACTGTGATCAGAAAAAATCAGCAAGTTGAAGACGTCAGTGTGGCCCTCTAAGAAATTGTGATGTCATCTGTATTTTACCAGACTAAACCATTAAAGGTCCAGTGTGTAAGATTTAGGTGAAAGGGATCTATTGGCAGAAATTTAATGTAGAATAATGCTCATGATGTTTTCACCAGTTCGTTTCATCTAAATTGTATGAATTGTTGTTTTCTTCACCCCAGAAAAGACCCTTTATATTCAAATACTTTATATTTACATCCAGGGGACCCTCTCTATGGAGGCAGTCATGTTTTTTACATTAACTTAACACCTTTTGAGTTTTTATGACAATTAAAGGCCACCACAGGTTCTTTTCATATTTGGAAAGAGAGGGTGAGGTGAGGGGTGTTCAGCTGCAACATGCAATTTCAACATTAGATATCACAAAATTCTACACACTGTACCATTAACCAAAAACAATCAGCATATTACTGGCAAAAAAGTTTGTTGCTTCCGTAAATGTGCATCTTGAGTAAACTGTTTTTAAATTGGTGCCACATAATAATAACCCATATATTTTCTACAACCAACTCCTGTACTACCGTAATTTAAATATTTCATTTTAGAAATATTAAAAAAGTGGTATTATGCCAAAACAAAAAATCTGTATTTTGTTTTTAGGATTACAACAGTAAATGAAAAGGTAAATAAGAAGGGAGTTTTTTAGATCCATTGTCATTGTTGCCACTTATGTTTTGAACTCTGTGCGTTTCTCTTTTAGGCTTCTGACATGATGAATTCGATCCTGGAGGGATATCCTAAAAGCAAAAAGGAGTTCCTAGTGAGTGAAAGCAGCTATAAAATCCATATTCCAAATCTCAGTTTCTCTGTGACAGCCATAGATGTTATGTTTGTCTGGCAGCATTTCTTCACAGTACTCATGAATAACACACCTGGTGCTGCTCTTACAGGATGAAGTTGGAGTAGAAACGGACGAGGACTACAAGGTGGTTGTTCCGAGTATTTGAAAGAAGCTTGTTCTGTGTCCTTACTGTAAGCCTTTAGATTACACATCAGAGCAATCTGAGCCTCTGCACATTTTATTTAAAGTCTTTCTTTTGGAACAAATATTACAGATTTGTTAAAAGGCCACTGGAACAACAGCTTTTTATGGAATATTTATACACTATGGTCATTAGACAGCACTCAGGGATGTCCCTACAAGTCTAGAATGAAAATGTCAAATTCTTTATTATCGCTCTGAGAGGTTTATATTCTTTGTTCTTATTGTTTGTTGTTGTTTCTACCATGTGTTTTGAAATCTGTTAAATGAAAGACCCACGTTTTATTAAAACATAGACGGTTATTCACATTCCATTTTTGCCTTTGTGCTGTTTCTTATTACATTTTCAGGACGTGAACATTTGATGCTGAATTTGGAAATTTGAATTTCTTAAACAACACGATCAAACTCATCTTTTTCTCAGTTTTCTTAAAACACTGAAGGTTTTTTTCATCAGCTGCAGAGACAGAGGCCACTGTTTTCCTGCTCACTTTATTTTCAAATTGCACTTTGGTCAAACACCTTTTTATTTACAGGTTGACAACACTCGTGAATGGTCATATACAAGGGGTGGCCACTTTATTGGGTGCACTTGTAAAATCTTATGCCATCCAATACAACAGTGCAGCCATGAATTCAAAAAAAAAATTACCAAGGAGGTTATATTTTCAACCCAGTCGGTTAAACTTAAAAAATAAGCAGGACAAAATATTTCCACAAAACTTTATAAAATATGTATGAACTTGAAAGACGCCACTGAATTTTGGCTCATATCCAGACAAACAGGCAGATCCAGCAGTTTTTCTTTCCTCCTGGATTTTGATGGGAAAAAGAATCATATTTAGAGGGACCAGAATTGGCTGAAAATGGTTGCAGCTTATTTGAATTAGAGATATTATTTTAACTTGTTTTCTTAATGCATAGTGGTTATGGTGTTGCACTGGACTGTGTTTAAACATGTTAAAGTACAAACACCTAATATTACCTCGGTTCAACACCAATGCCAACTACAGCCTCAATGATAAACATTTATTTAAATCAATACCCTCCCTTATCATCAAAATTATTATTTTAAGTAAAGGCTGAGCTAGTGTTTTGAGAGGCAAACCTCTTGAAGTCACCTGTGAGTGTAGATGGCTTTTAACCACTGAAAAAAAAACAACCAGAAATCTGTTTCCCTGTGAGTAAAGCAAGAGAAAAGCAAGTACAGAAACAAAACTGTCTCAAAATGAGATTGTCATCTCAACTGTTTTCATTCAGTGCAGATTGTCTGTAGATCTGTGCTTTGGTCTGTTCACAATCTCTCCTGGGACTGGACGTTAAGAACAGTCCTGGATAATCAAAACATTTCTTTAATCACAGACAGAGGCTATAACATAATTTCTACTGAACTGTTACTAAGCACAAAAGCCACTGTCACCCAAGATAAACAGAATTTAACATGATGGTATGAAAATCAAAGAAATCAACACTTTGTATTTAAAATCATCTTCAGAATAAACATGTATATCTGCAACTGAATAACTGTAAATAAAGAGAATCTCTTCACAGTGTGCAGTGAAGTCCATAGACTGAATATAAACACGGATACACAGGTCGGACCTGTATGCTGCCTCATTACACACCTGCCAACCGTGACATCGCAGCATCTTTGGCTCGTCACAGCCGCTTTGATAAAAACTTCACAGTCCGTGTCACTAAGGCTAGAAATAAAAAAAACGGCCTGAGAGCACAGTTAGGAGAGGGGACAGGTACCCTGCAGTAGAACAGTAGTGGTGGAGAATTCTCCATTGTCTGCTGTGGTTCAGGAGTGGTGTGGATGAGAGGAACCTTTTGGTTCAGCGTGAAAAAAAACTTGTGCTCGATGGGGCAGAGAGCGGTGTGTACTCGCGCTTCTCACTATTTCCATTTTGTTAAATTAACAGGCTGCAGAACAAATACCATCATTTAACTCAGGCAGTTACCGTAAAAAAAAAAACTAAAACTAAAATAAAGTAAAAGCTTAATGCATTTAACACGACACATTGGTTTGCAAACGTACAGTTGTTTTGACTCCTGAGCGCCGTTTCCTCATGAGCTTCTTAGCAAAACAACAAGAAGTATGAATCGTCCGCTGAGGCGGATGAGGCTTAGACTCTGTGTATGTACACGTACAATCAGAATGTTATCTCAAACAATCCAATGCAGCTTTTAATCTCTGCCCACCGTGGGGGTTGAGGTAATTCAATTGCAGCCAAGGAGTCACAGAGGAGCTGAAGTGAGTGTAGATGCTGTGGTGTGGCCTGAGGCTGATAGCAGTCTCCACCCTGAGAGGCCAGAGCAAGCCCCAATAACTGGGAGCTGAGTCCAGAGGTTTCACCCGATCAATACAGCTGACCGCTGAGCTGTTGGAGCACGCCAACCACAAACTCCCTCAGTGTCTGGGAGAGAACAGAGGAGGCACAAAAGCTTTGATCATCTCAGGTGTTGTGATGTACTGGTATTGACGATAATCATGAAATTTAGATAAAATAATTGATATATTGATTTAATTATTTTTTTTTCAATTTCTTTCTGTCTTGATGCAGTAACTGTGTGTTTGTGTCGCCACTTGTTTATTATCTACGGAAGATGCAGACCTAAAACTAAAGCGGGGCAAGTGACATATAATATTTTTTATGATCAAACAATTTAATACATTCAGGAGACAATTGGGTCATCTATGATCGCATTACCTCTCTCCAATCATCTATAATAACATCTTCAACTTGAAGTGTAATCATGATCATGCCAAAAATTGAAGAAATTAGAAGATTCCTTTTCAAACTTTCTGTAGATTTTGTGCTAATATCAGTATTGTGGATTCCTTTGGCTTTGATAATCTAAAATAATGACAGCCCTAGAAGCAATGCTTATAGTTATTCCATGTATAATAACAATCCATATGCACCTGATCTGCTGTCTGCAATATAATTACTCCTTATTCCTTACCTGTGGCTTGCAGTGCTCCTCGATCCAGCTGAAAACACAGGCGGAGAGCTCCTGGAAGCTGTTCACTGACACAGAGTTGTTGAAAGACAGGAACAGAGAGTCCATGATGCTCTGAAAGATGTTGAACTTGACCTGGTCAGACACCTGATCTTCTCCCTGCTGTGGGTTGTTCTGGTGGGCATTCACTATGTGCTCGTAGTTCCTATTAGAGAAGACAATTACTGTTGACCTAAAGACACTTAACGTTTGAACCAAGGTTCATGTCTTTGTTGCATTGTTTACATTCGATCCAGTTAGTTTTGGTTTCACATTGTGGAGCAGATGCAACACTTTTGTACAACATGTGTTGTACGTCCTGTCTCTATCACCTACGTGGGCTGTGTCTACCTATTCTTTTACATTGATTTGTTAGTCGACAGGTGTGTCTGACATCAGCGTATTATTGTATTTGTTAGCTTTTTTGAATAAAGTGCATAGAAAAAAATGTGTCTTTACATTGGAATGAACTGGCTGACTTTGTTAATTCCTTTACCAATGTCATAGTGTATGATATCATTACTGTCAGCATCACCACCTTCAGCCGCAGTAGTCGAGACTAGTTTAAATGTGCCAACTGAATGTCCTCATCGTTAAAACATTATATCGTCTGAGGCGATCCTGCGAGCCGTCTATGCTTCTTTTTCTTGTTAGATGCTGTCTCAACTTCCTGCAATTGGTCTGAACTATCCAAAAAACAATTTTGACCGTGATTCGTTTGATCCGCGGTCCGATGCACCTTTCGCAACTCTTATTTTGTTTCTGAATAAAACCGGGAAGTCTGAAGGTCTGGATCAAACAAGTTCGGTGTTAAAGCGCCCTAATGGTTACAACTGATAAAAAAAGAGGATTAACGTGATCCATTCTTTCCATACACTAGATGGAATTGTAAGCCTCTACAGCAAGTGTAACAGATAAAAAAAAGCAGCATTTACAGGGCATTTCCTCCTATTTTTCTTAGATCTGATAGTAACTTTACTTGTGCTGTGTAAGGGCTCCTATCAAAGCATTTCTCACTCAAGAGATTTCTCTTTTTGTGCAGGCGCAGCATTTCTTTTAAAATCCATCTTTTCATCTGTCTGGATGCAGAACATTCATGACTTCGAAATTCAAATGAGGAAGATATCTTTTCAGGGTTTGCCTTCAAGTAGGGATGCATTAGTTTGCCCAAAAAAAAAAATATTGCAACTGTGGAGAAGATTATGGAAAAATAGTGTCTTTGACAGTCTGCAAGTAACTTTCTCACGTTTTCATGATCTTCAACGCCATCACTTCTTTTCTTAATACAGAAACTTCCTCCTCTTGCTTCTTCTTTTCTTTATGAAGAAAATGGATGTAGTCAATTGCTGAGAAATAAAACACAGACATGCATCAGTCAGGGCGTCTTCATTGTACAAAACCTGAAGTACAATTTGATAAAATTTCTCTACCTAGGTCTTATCCCTCCAACAAATAACCCTGACATATATATAAATACCTTTGTGAGCCTGTAAGGCTGTATCTGTGATTATGGGCTAAAAGCAGCATGCATGCAGATTTGTGAGAATTACACTGGTAACACTGCCGGTTTTGGTGATATGCGGTTTTAAATTACGACTTGGTAATAATGCTAAGTTTGACAGAAATCTCTGACCTGATGGAGACAGTAAACTGTTGAATGATGTATAAACTACTTTGACAAATACCCATGACTTCATCCAATAAGACAACATCACGTCTTACTTTTCTGCAGAATGGTTGCTTTGCTAATTTTCTGTGCTCCCACTGCAATGTCAGACTGCTGCTGACAGGTTGGAACTATTCCCTGGAGGTCATCATAACCTTTCTAGAAAAGAAAAAGAAAAAAAAGAAAAGATCATTAATAACTAGTAAAAGAAAAATTTAAAATACACAACTCAAACTTTAAGTAGGTCACAGAGACCAACTGCATCGTATTGTAGCTTTACCTTGATAGCATCTCTACGCTTCTGCTCAGCCTGGGAGTGCGCTTGTCTCCGTCGATCTTTATACGAGTCCTTATATGACGTCTCATGTCTGTAGTCACTATCTTCGTCATCTGTTCAAAAACATATTAAATCATATTAAAGTGGGAAACTTTAGGCTGGTCCTGAAAATCTTCCTCTCTGAAAACAACTGTGCAAAGGTGGTGTTACTCTTTAAATTCATGAACCTGTGGATGGTGGGAAGTTCGACCTATATCAAGATACATGACATCGACTGTATGGACACCAAAAGATGTTCTGGGATGAGAAGTGCAGAATAATTATTTCCCAACAATAGTGAAATACCAGTGTTGTTTTCTTTACCCTAAAATGGGCCCTTTTTATTTAAATACTTTATATTTACATCAGGAGCAGGTCCTCTCTATAGAGGCCACAATGTTTTTACAGTCGTCCAAACTGGACAAACTAAAAACCTTTTGAGTTTTGAACTGAAGGCTTCCACAGGTTCTTTTTCATGTTTGGAAGGAGAGGTTGATGTGAGGGGGTATTCGGCTGCAACATTCAACTTCACCACTAGATTTCACTAAATTCTACACAGTGAACCTTGAACCGACATGAGCAAGATTAATTTTGTTAGAGGTTATAAATGTCGGTTTCAATAAATTATCGGTTAATTGCCCAGCCCTATTTTCTACACACATTATTTTTAAACCAGAATGTCTCAATCATATCCAGTAAAGTGAAGCATAAATGTGTGTTTCAATTTCTGAAAATGTTCTTATTTTGTTTTTAAATGAGATAAGCACATGGATAGCCCTGGATTCTGTGCACAGTACTGCACATACTGTGTAATGGACAATGACTCCAAATAGATTATCTCTATGGTGACAGTGGACAAACAAGAGACAATGTGGAACAGCTTCATCATGAAGAAGGAAGTGTTCATCTGGACTTTCGACACACTCCCACCAGGTTGTTATTTGTTCAGTTCTTTTTTATTTTTTTATTAATGTGTTAAGTTATGCAGAAATGCTGCAAATGTCTGTATCACATAACATTTGCCTCTATTACATGAAGCCACGTGAGTAGATACAGTCATGGGCTGGCTTGCAGTGATGAGCGTGTATGAAGTGTGTGCCTCTGCCCTTGCTCGTCTGATGGGAGGGGCTTAGGACAGAGACACTCCATCTCAAAATGTTAGTAGTCATTGTCCTACAGAGGGGACTATACATTCAACTACTTTTCCAGTTATCCCACCTACTGCAGTTGTAAATGACCTCAGTCAGTGACTAACTATGCCCTAATGTACTGACAAATGCTATAATATGTTTTCTTATAATCAACTTAAACTAAATTTAGATTTTTCTGACAGCAGGCTCTTTAGTTTCCCAGACGCCAGGTCAATTTAAAAATATGTTTATCTTGACAACACTTGACCAGTACGTCTCACCATGCAAGAGAAGATGGTTCAAGCTTCAATTAAGTCATATTCATTCCTGTGATGCACTTTGAACTGGCCTGTGCAAAATATTAATCGACAGGCAGCAACTGATTTAAAACCCAAGTCAGGGACCAAATAAAAATACAGCTAATACTGATTGATATGCAGGACTAACATTATTTCATAAAATATATGAAACCAAGTTGATAGAATCTGAATAAAAGCTACAGAATAGAATTTTCAGTTCAGAATGCATTGCAGTTTGTTAAACATGAATATGCAGTGTATTCTGTTATTCTCTGTTAATATCATATATTTACACCCTATTACAGTACCTACATGTCTTCTAGTGCTCTACTGCACCTGCCCAAGTACAGTAAAACCTGTAATGAGTAGCAGAACAGGTTTTTCTTGGCAGAGGACAAAGTGAAAGAAAGCAGGCTCAGAGTCCATTTAACAATGACCTCT